CACACGTCGATTGGTCGCGCTCTTGCATGTTTATCCAGCATCTGTGATTTCGTACGTGTAGGCGTATACCCAGCCTCAAAATCCCGAGCACAAGGTGATGTTCTGCGATGGAGAAGGCGCAGCGCGACTGAACCAGGCAGGCCTCAGAACCAATCTGCCGGAACCACAGCGGAAAGCACGTCATGTACGCCCGTCAATCATGGAATTTTGTTATTTTTGCCAAAATCGTGTACCTATCCAGAAACATGTATTTGTGGTCAACGAGTAGCGCAACACTGACGTCATGGGGACATCTCCCCGCTGGAGCATTTTTTTGTTTTCTCGTTTGGGGGGAGTCCCCATGACCAATTGCACGAAATGTCAGTCTCATTTGTTGCCCACCATGAATGAGTTGCCACCCATGAAAGGGCAGACACACCCGTGCTGTCGGAGAAGTTTACCGTACCGTTTGTCCGTTCTGGCCGTTGCCGGTGACATCTGTTCGAAGGGCCGTGATGTGTTCGCTAAGAAAACGACAGAGCAGCAAATGACGACCTATTGTGGTTCTTTCGTCTTGAAACGCCTCCCATTTTCGGACACCGTAAGAAGGGCCACATCACACAGAAGATGGTCCAATTTTTTTTGCAGTTGTATGAGACTTTGTATGTTGCCGTCAAAAACTCACAAGTCTTTCCTTCTGTGAGTGGCAACGCGTTGTGCTCCGGCTCAATGTGTTGCGAACTGAACCCCGAGACATTCAGATTTTCATTCTCCGTGGCTTCACGGCATCAGCAGCACCAGGAAGCATGAGGTTGATGTTGCCCACGATGATCCACTGCCCGTCCGAGAGATTCTTCGGTACAGTCAATCCTATTGTCAGCCTAGTGGTTCATCGTCTATTTCCTNAACTGAACCCCGAGACATTCATATTTTCATTCTCCGTGGCTTGACGGCATCAGCAGCACCAGGAAGCATGAGGTTGATGTTGCCCACGATGATCCACTGCCCGTCCGAGAGATTCTTCGGTACAGTCCTATTGTCAGCCTAGTGGTTCATCGTCTGTTTCCATCGACGATACTGACGAAACTGGGGTATTCCGACATGGATGTCCTTCGCTCGCGGGAGGAATGAATCGGCGGCTGAAATCATTAATCTGCGGTGATCCCGCAATGTGTGCCCTTGTTCGTTCCCCAGGCTCTATTCCACAGGAGCTTGGACAATTAAAGGCACTGGAGGACGCTTACNTCGGTGATCCCGCAATGTGTGCCCTTGTTCGTTCCCCAGGATCCATTCCACAGGAGCTTGGACAATTGACGGCACTGAAGAAGGCGTGGTTCTTTGGGAACCACTTCAGCGGTGAGATGTGTTGGAGTGGAGTGGCGAAAGGGAGAACGCTTGGTCCGTTCTCGGCAGATTCCAGTTACCACTTTCAACTGATCGCGTCTGCGTGTTGATATTTTTTTTCCGTAGCTTGTTCGCCTTTATGCTTGAACGCACCCTTTGCACGGAAGGGATGCCATAAATGTGTAAAATTCCGTCGGCCTATTTCCGCGACGATTCTACTTGTTTCATATTGCCGAGAATACGCTCACCGTTCTTTCCCCCACTGTGACCGTGGAGTCGAGTTTTGTCTTCATTTGCAGGAATGAACCTTTGCCCACTTGTTTGGAGGTTGTGTCAAAGCAAGGTCGATGTCAAACTAGACGACTCGCACTTGGCTTGAATGTGGGACCGACGTCAGGAAATCGTTCTTGTCGTTTATATTCCGAGAGCTGCTTAATTTTTCTTGAACTCTGGCATGCCGCCAAAGAAGGTGAAGAATAAGGAGTAGAGCGCTGCGACCATTCCCTCCACCCGTCATTCAGCAATTTGTGTTGTCACCAACAACAGTTCATACATATTCCCCCTTACGCTGGGAACGTTGCAGGCCTCACCAATCTAAACACAGCTGAAGAGCAAACACGTAGTTGCCACAGTCGCCCACCATATTGTGTGAAGCAACATTTGCTCGTGACGCCAGGACTCTACCTGCAGTTTCGATATGCCATGGTGCTGGGTTCGACGGCATTTAAGTGTCAACATCCTTCTTCTCTGTAGTCCGCATGCAGCACGTTGATCCCAACTATATTCAGAAGCAACCCTGCCGCCTGCTCAAGCGAGCTGAGCGATTTTCACAACATCAACAATCGAAGCGCTTCAGCACGAAATTGAGTGCCAGGCACTCGTCTCGGTGGTTCAGCGTGTAACATCGCAATGTTGCAACCTTTGGCGTGAGTGAGAGCTGCAACAAACCGCGGAGCGTGCTCTCTTTCCCAGTGCCAATCGTTTCGTGTGTAAGTTCCGGCTTAGCTAAGGTGTTCTGTGGCGGGCGGTGGTCCCGTGCTAACTTGGTCTTGTGGCCCTACTGACTGACGCTCGTCGACCTTCGACCGCGCTGTGGGGAATATCCCCCCAAGGTCTCCCTTGAATTCAACGAGGTTCCCGAACATGCGCAAGGACCAGTCGGGAAGCCGTTGGTGACGGTTGTGTCGAAACAACTTCCCCCCTGCGTGATATTTCGCCCCATTAACCAAGAAAAGTAGGACACCGCGTGACGCGTTGCAAGCCTCGGAATACTTTAAGCGAATAAGAGCACACCCCGTTAAATGCCGGTTTCAAGAGGAAGTACGCTCCGCGAACCCCCCTCGAACGGAGCGCATTGCCTTGCATGTGATGGCGAAACTCCGCCGTGTTGTAGCGCGAATCCAGAGTGGCCATTGTACGCGGCGCCGAAGGAGAAACTCTCTCCCGCCCACGGTTTTCGCACGAAACTACTGGGACGCTTTGTCGAACCCGCACTGATGCGATATCCACATAAGCGTTTATCGCAAACTCGCCGGAAATGCACACTTTCGAGAATTCGGCATTAGCAAGACCGTGGCCACTTCGTTCGAGCGTCGCAAATATTTCCTAGTTCTCGTTGGCACTTGCAAAGTATCTCCATGGATTGCTGTGCTCGGCGCAACATCTGTATCCCGTGCGTTGAGGAAATCCAAGCCCCGGCATTATCGAGTTAAGGATTGCAAAGAATTACCCGAAATATTGAGTGAGCCAAAACATCTTCGCCTTCGAATGTGCCGCCGCGTACCTCGCCATCGAAGCAGGCATGGGCGCGGCGGCCGTCGCAAATAGCGTCCGAATAGAAGTCACGGTATCTCTCAAGATTCCTTTTCACGTCAACTCGATACTTCCTGGAAGCGAACGGGGCAAAAGGTTTAGTTCCACAGCTTAATCGTTTTTACGCCCGTGGTTGCATCAGCATTCCAATTTCATTTTATCTTGTTCCCCTGTGATTTTTCTTGACAACTATTCCCCTATCATTATCTACGACCACTGCTCTGCACCAGTGATTTCGTGTGGCTGGCCGCTGAACTGTCAGAGCCCATAGGTCCTGTTTGTACCGTTGTGTCCTTTTCACGCTTGCCGAGGTTTGCTCTTTCTCCTGCTTGGTTGGTTTCCATATTCTACATCTTGCACAAGTCAAGGTAGCAAACGACGTCATCTGCACATGTCCACCGTACCGTCGACGCGAACGTCTTTGTTAGACATTACCCGGTGTAACCCTATTGGTGGCGGGTTTATTCGGAGCACTGTACTGGGTCACACGGACATCTGACGATGAAGAAATAGCGAGCCTGACTGACAACCCTGTCTCCAGACTCCTACGTGGGAGTTTGTTCTGTGAGTACTCGTACGTTTCTCAGTCTGATGACTGAAGGATGAGGTATGAATGAACGTGATTCACTCCACTGACACCTACCGACATACTTCGTACGTTTCAATTGTGTCGTCGTGCAAATAGGGACCAAGGAGGACGTCCAACGGCTGCTCCCGGGTTGCAGCGTGTGTTGGCACTTCTGGTCTGGTTGAACAAGCGACCCCGGCCACTGAATACCAGCACCTTGAGCAAAGCAAGAAGGCCGAAGGGTGGATGATTGTGGTCTCAGGGTGTTGTCCCCTTGCACTTTCCTCCTTGGACATTGTGGACCGGACGGCACGTTTTCCATGCGCGCCCACGAATGTGGGTTCGTGAGTACTGAATGGCGTTTGGAAGCTGTAGCTCATGTGCTTGGGGAGAAGGTAGATGGCAGTCAACATGACTAGAGTTATTGCTTGGTGTTGTTGGTAAATTCCCGCCGAGGGAACGGTTGGTGTTTTCATACTGTTTCCCCACGAACTCTGGGAAATCGGGGGCGCCAGTGTAAGCGAATGAGGGGGTTGACAATATTCGTCCACCATCGGCGCAGGCTCTATTGCTTGGTTCATGGCTTCCGCCAACAGAGGGTTTCCCCCCGCGCCGCTCTGATCGCTGTTTTTGCATGGGGATGGTTTTCTTGCTCTCCAAATTCTTGTGTGTGTCGATGAGATGTGTTTCGGAACTTTGACGTGACAACTAACATTTCGGTTAGAGCTGCCTTTAGAATCTTCTGTCCGTGCTCGTCTTGTTCGTACTTTTATTCTGTCCTGTTCTGTGTTTTCGTTTCAGAGACGAGCTTGTTTTGTGTGCTCGCGCGTTTCCCTCGACGTGTCACGTGGGTAGCCTAGGAGTGATGGCCAGGCTTGAAGTTGCCGTATATTTTATTGGCAAACTTGGCACGGTCAACATTGCCATTATTCCGGTCTGCTTCCGCTCAAACGTGCCAGCAGCATGAAGAGAGATGAGGTGTTGTATTTTCAGTTATATTCATACATTGCTTGTGTTCATTCTTAGCCGCTAGTCCCCCTAGGCCCTTGGTTTCCTTTCGTTGACTAAGCGGAAACCTGCGAATGAAGCTTCCTCGTTTCGTGAGCTGCAATCACCTCATCCGGTTTTCGCGTCATGACTTCGGAAGGGTTCCTATGAACGTGATTACAGGTCTTGGTTGTCTGCTTCCAGTGCACGCAGTCGACGGGTTTTTCGGTGTGCTTGTCGAAGAAGGTGGAGAAATGTTTGCTTGGTTTATGGCATAAACGTGCATGCTGTCGGCCGGCCGCCTCCATGGTGCCTTCGTTTCCCCCTCGGTGTCGTGCGGTCAGGTGGCGTCGCTGACCACTGTCATGCACAAGAATGGCGCCTTCCCCTTGGTGTGTTGGGGGGGAGTTCCAGCGCATCTGCGATCAGTATCTTGGGAGGGCATTTATCTATGTAGTCTTTGCTCGTTTCAATATCCGCAAGTGCCCACGGCAGAAAAAACCGGCGTTTTTTTTAATGTTGTCGGACTCTCTGTGCCATCATGATGGGCAAGGTCACAAGCGACTTCTAACTTCACGATGCTAGCATTGAAAACTGAACACATAATTCTGTGGCACAACCAGAGTACACTGTCGTCTAGGTTGCGTATCCTCCATTTGCAAAAGTTTTGCCGTGCGAACAAACAACGCCGGGGGTACGTTTTGGATGACTGTTTTTTCTCTGGCGGTTGACTGGCTTGCATCCGGGGTGCTGAGGTTCGTTTCTTCGCCTCTTGCCAGCCATCCTTCTTTCGAGTGAACGTAGGCGATACATTCTCGATTGTGCCCTTTTGTCATGCACGCTTTAGCTGCTGCGCAAGTCTGTTTGGGTGTGGATGCCGATGTGCTCTGCGTTGTATGTGCTTTCGTTTGCAAAGAATATTATATTGCCCTTTACACTTTCAAATGACAACGTCTTTGGACCGGACCGACGCCACGTTCAAAGAACGCTCGGCGTAGGGTCCTCTCGCGCTGTGCCACGGTTGTTCATGGCGCATGGGCTCCACATGTGGAGGGGTGACTGGTTGACACAGTCGAGGTTCCGACAGCAGTCGTTCATCTCAATTCTTGTCTTGTTTCAGGGGTGTTTCTCGTCCGAAATGCTGGGCAAAAGTGTGCTTAGGCCAGTGTGTGTTTGAAGCAAAATCCGGGGGTTACACTGGAGTTTCCTTTTTTGTGTTCTTTCTCCACATCCCTCGGCGGTGCTTGACTCTCGTTTTTTTCGCGAGCAAAGTCCACCAGGGTCACAAATGAGCGTTGAGAGTACCAGGAACATACTTCAATGCTATTTTCATCGGCAGCACCGGCGGGAACAGCGGCCATAGGGTGCGTGTCCAACAATGTATGATTCATACCGAGGTAGGTGGAGACAAGGGGAGCGGTCGTGGACCGCATCCATCCGTGCCTCTCGTCTCCGGGAGTGAATGGAGACAAGAGAACCGAGCGAGCACGAAACACGAAACACCCAAGCAGAACACGGCACCTGCCCGACCCCAGAGATTCGCCTGGTTCTCGAGGTACCGACCCTGAGCCAAATCAATACGTTGCCACTTTGGTTGACAACACACGAAAAGCCACCGAATTATTGTACTCCGTACGGTTACCGTAGCCTACTTCTGATGTACCATTGCAATCACAATGAATCGAGACATCTGCTGCAACGGCAGAACACGTCCACCAAACAACGAAACCATGTTGGAAGGGGATCAGGCTATAGCCCGCCCTCACGGCCGTACGGAGGCGGGACATGGAAAGGGGTTGTAACCGGAGAGTAGCGCTCGCTCCCCCGCCCCCCCCCGGGTCTACGTAGAGACCAAACACGGACACATGATTGGCGGTGGGATACACCGAACAGTGAGAACACGATGGAGACTAGACTACAGTACTAATCAAATGGAAGTTTATGGGAGGAAGACAAAATCAGGCAAACACGTGGTCATGAAGAGAAAGCAGGCAGAGACGTCACCCTTCCCGCAATGACGGCTCGCTCACGGTACAGATGGAAAGACAGAACAAAATGAAGCTCAAAAACTCAATTTTTCAAGCGAACACCTGCGCCAAAAAAACACAACAATCCTTTGCCCATGCTGCTACACCAACCGTGCGTACTTTCGACGAAGACCAGATCCTGACGTACTTTTCGCCGTCTTAATGACAACCACACAAAAGTGAATCCAGCCGCAGCGCAAAGCGCAAACGACATCTATGATAGCAGGGTCCGTAACAGCCTAGACACCAAAAAAGGTGAGCGCATCGATTTCCCTACGGGGGTCGCAACACATCCTTCAACCTTCCTTCTGCGGCATGTCCATCCACAAGACGGGGTCACTGTCCAAGGTCGAAACACG